GGCATGCAGCAGTATTAAAAGTTGAATTTATAGGGGCTGGCCCAGTGGTGTAAGCAGTGAGGCGCGCACGCTCTTCTGCGGCAGCCCGGGGTTCGCCAGTTCAGATCCTGGGTGCGCACCGACACACAGCTTGTAGAGCCATGCTGTGGCGGTGACCCATATAAAGTAGAGGAAGATGGGCACGGATGTTAGCTCAGGGCCAATATTCCTCAGCAAAAATGGGAGGATTGGCATCAGATGTTAGCTCAGTGCTGATCTTCCTCACACACACAAAAAAAGTTGAATTTATAATTTTAAACACATTTATTTGAAAATAAGAATTGTTGTAAAAACAATAAGTGTTTGCATTTAGCAGTTAAGGAAAGAACAACAAAATAAACCCAAAGAAAATAGAGGAAAGGAAATAATAACGATAAAAGGAGAAATGAATGAAGTAGAAGACTCATGCAACAAGTTAAACATAGTTGATCAGTAAAAAATAAGCTGATTCTTTGATAAGACTAACAAAACAGAAAACTTCTAAACCACAATATTTCCATGAGTTAGATATTAAAATAAAAAGTAACACAGATTATAATAGAGATTTTAAATGCCAAAAGACATTATTTCATGAATAATATTAATCCAATAACTTAAAAATTTAAATGCAGTGGATAATTTTCTACAGAAAAATATAAACTATCACAATTCACCGAAGAAGGGAAAAGCCTGAGTACACCAATAATTTTCTAAAAAATGAGTTCAGAATCACAAATGTCCAAAGACCTACCTTCAATGGTACAAGGCTGAATCTGTTTTATGAGTTCTAAAAAACTTGAAGAACCATTAATTCCAGTTGTATTGAATCTCTTCCAGAGTTTAGTAAGAAATAGAAAGTTACTCAATTCATTTTATGAGACTAGTGTAACCTTGATGCATAAACAAAACATGAATAACATCAGAAAATATTATTGGCCAATATCCCTTATAAGTACAAATACAGCAATTTTACATAACTCGTAAAAAACTATATTTAACGTAAAAGGAATATTCTAAAAATAGTACATCACAGACAAATACAGCTTATTCCAGGAAGACATGTATTATTTTAAGTTAGAAAATCTTTTAATTTAAATGTGTTAAAAGATTTTAACCACATAATAGGTTATGGGAGAAAAACTACATAATTATCTTAATAGGTTCAAGTTGAGACAATGAGAATTTTCACTTTATTTGGCAAAATTTCTGGATGTTAAATTCTTACTATATGGAGGATGGAGGATAGGCAATGAGTTTTCTCATACAGTCTTGGTGGGAGTGAAAATCAATATAGCAACACTATAGAAAAATTTTGTAGTATCAATTTTTTTAACGTAGTAAATATTTTTTAGTTGAGGTAAACTTGACATACAACATTACATTAGTTTCAGCTGTACAATATAATGATTTAATATGTGTATATAATGTGAAATAATCACCACAATAAGTCTAGTTAATTTTCATCAGTATGCATAGGTACAAAAAATTTTTTTCTTGTGATGAGGAATTTTTTTTGGTCAGGAAGACTGGCCCTGAGCTAACATCTGTTGCCAATATTTCTCTTTGTGCTTGAGGAAGATTGTGGCTGAGCTAACATCTATGGCAATCCTCTTCGATTTGGATGTGGGACAGTGCCATGGCATGGCTTGATGGGTGGTGCATACGTCCGCACCTGGGATTCAAACCCGTAAACCCTGGGCCGCCAAAGCGGAGCATCTGAATTTAACCACTGTGCCACTGGGAAGGCCCCCAGATGGGCATTTTTAAGATCTATTTTCCTAGCAACTTTCAAATATGCAATATACTATTATTAACTGTAGTCACTATGCTGCATATTACATCCCCATGACTTATTTATTTTATAACCAGAGGTTTATATGCTTTGCTCTCCTTAACTTATTTCACCAACCCTCCTAACCCCCCACCTCTGGCAACTACCAATCTGTCTTCTGTGTCTATGAGCTTGTTCTGTGTTTGTGTGCGGTAGATTCCAAATATAAGTGAGATCATACAATATGTGTATTTCTCAGTCTGACATTTCCCTTAGCATAAGCAGTTTTTAAAATTGTTAGTAGGCATATGCTTTAGCAGAAAGATTATACTTGTAGTTACCTAATACACGGGATTACTCTTACATAAACACTAAGATACATATACAAGGATATTTATGGCAGCATTGTTTGAAATAATGAAACATTTGGAAATAATACAAATATTCTTAACTAAATAAAACTTGATACATATATATAATGACATAAGGTGGATATCTATGTGAATGTCTCCCAAAAAAGTAACATTATGAGTGATGTATATAGCTTGATATAATCATGTAAATATAAAAGCAGCAATATTTTTATATTTTTTCTTTAAAATATTTTAAAAATCGTTTCAAAAACATACAAACTGATAATCATGGATTCCTCTAGTTATGACTGCAAACAATCAAGATAAATTAAGTGAGATGAATATGATTTCAGGTTAACCTTCAGGATTCTCTCCTTTTTTTTCAATAAGACAATGTATTCATGTATTACTTATTGATAAAAAAATAAACATATTCAAATAAAATATGCCAATAATTTTAATTAAAATTTTGCAGTAGGCTCCCCTACCCTTTCTTACCCTGAAGTAAGAAAGAAGGTAATGAAATGAAATATGCGTAGCTGCTTATTTGAACAAAAGAGGCACAAGAAGCAAAAACTAAAAACAAATGAGAGTGATTTCACACAAGAGATAGGTGGAAAATGGATGAAACACAGGCGACGGGGATAGGTAAAGCAGCAATGAGGAGGCGAGGACATTTTCTGAGTGTACTTTTTTGTATAACTCTCACTAATAGAGTCATAGTAATGTTTCACATGCTCCTCAAATGAATAATTAACTAAAACCAACCAAGATGTGAGTGGAACCTAATGGAATATGAATTACTATAAAATAAAAATGTATAAAATAAACATCAAAACTGTATTTAAAGTATGGAGGAAAAAAGGGACTAACCAAGTTAAACCCAGTGAAAACCACAATTAAAGGATGAAGGAAAAAGGAACTAATTTTGGAAAACAGTATTTTGACTGGATACCACAGGCTAAAGACAGAAAGAATTCCACACAAATACTGTGCTCTACTTAGTAAATCTATTTCTAATTGGGGTATGGTTACCTATTCTGAACTAATTTATGTGTTTACTAGGATTAAAACAAAATAAATATAGAAGATGGGAATCAGGTTTCTCACTATTGTAGAAAAAAATTACATGTAAGAAATGGGAGGGAGAGGTGAGGTCGGCTTCGTGGTGGAGTGAGTTATTCCTTTTGTCTCTCCCCACTAAGTTGTGACCAATCTGACATCCATTGACCGACAAATCTTACATAGTACAACAGGTTTTCTAAAAGATCTATGCATATATATATATCTAAAGGTGAGTGGACTGGACCTCCAGGAGGTAGTGAAACAGGGGAATAGCACCTTACCTGATCCCCTGGCAGCGGCGAAGCAAAATGTAGATCCTCTCACCAGTACACACACAGGTGAACAGAGGCTGCAGGGGCAGGGACACCACTGGCAGCTTAGCCCCAGCCTCCCTAGCAGTGTTGGTTGCTGCACACACCCTGAGGATTCAGAACACAAAGCAGAGCCAGTGACCCTGATCTTTCCCTCTTCCTCAACAGTGGCCCAGTCTTTCCAATAGTGGGGACAGTATTCAAAATGTGGATTTTCCCAGCTGGGACAGGGAGCTCTGACCTGAGATTTCAAAACACACTGGCTCACGCCAGTGACCAGAGGCTGCACAAGCAAATAGCAATGACACGCACTCTTTATTAAGCTCCTAGCACACCCAGCAATGGCAGGTGGAACTTGGACCTGAGGCTTCAGTAACCACAGCAGAACCCATGACTCAGCTCCAAGAGGTGGCATCCCCAACACCAGCTCTACCAGCAGTGAGGGCTGCATACAAATTTCTGGGTGTGGATGCAGCACCTGTGAACACAGCACCTCTGGTAGCGTTGCTGACAGCAGCCCCAGACAACCTGGAAGCCACACTGCAGGTGATGCACTACAGGTGATGCACTGCAGGTGGTGCATGGGGAAGGAACATCTGAACACACGGAGAGCACACAAAGAGCCAGTGGGGGAACAAGAGACCTAGGCCACCCTGGAAGCAACAGAAGTGCTCACAGTCCAGTGATGCCAGTGGTGACACCTGTACAGCAGTAACATCATAAGCAGCAAGTCACCAGCAACCTCAGAGGCACAAGCAGCACAAGGAGGGCACTGACAACACCTCTGGCAAAGGCAGTGGAGGGTGGAAAGTGTAGGCTTTCAAATAGAACCAGAAGCAAGTCAGATCCAAGGTAAACAAAGCCTAACCCAAATAATAAAGGTAATTACTATCACAAATGTGCCAGCAGAGGATCAACTCATCAAGTACCATAAAGAATTGAAATAATACAGAAGAACAGAAAGAAAATGACCACTCTCCAGAAACAAAACTTAAATAGAAGATTACAATCTAATTGACAGATAATTAAAAATAACTGTCACGAAGAAACTCAATGAGTTACAAGCAAATTCAGAAAGATAGTTCAATCAGCTCAGGAATAAAATTAATTAAAAGAAGGAGTACTTAAACAAAGAGATTGAAACCGTAAAAAAAAGAAAAATTCTGGAGATGAAGAACAGAATTAATGAGAGGAAAAATAAAGTAGAATACATTAAAAATAGCTAAGACCATATGGAAGACATAATTAGTGAGCTTGAAGATAGAAATCTGGAAATAATTCAGATGGAAGAGGAGAGAGAACAAAGATTTTTTAAAAATGGAAAAATTCTATGAGAACTATCTGACTCAATTAGGAAAAGTAACATAAGGATAATAGGTATCCCAGAAGGAGAAGAGAGGGAGAAAGGAGCAGAGAGTTTATTCAAAGAAATAATAGCTTCCTCCCAAACCTGGGGAAGGAACTGGATATCCAGTACATGAAGCTAATAGAACTAATTGTCTCAACCAAAAAGACATTTTCCGAGACATATAAAGTTAAAACTGTCAAAAGTCAAAGACAAAGAAAGAGTTTTAATTACAGCCACAGTAAAGAAAATAACTTACAAAGGGACCCTCATCAGGCTTTCAGTGGATTTCTCAGCAAAAACTCTATAGGGTAAGAGAAAGCAGAATGATATATTCAAAATACTTAAAGACAATAACTATCAGCCAAGAATACTCTATGCAGCAAAATTATCCTTCAGATATGAAGAAGGAATAAAAGCTTTCCCAGACAAACAAAAGCTGAGGGAATTCACCACCACTAGACCTGCCTTACAAGAAATGTTGGAAGGAGCCGTCCTACCTGAAACAAAAAGACAGAAGTTTAAAAGGCCTTCAGCGTGGTGATAAATAGACTGACAGAATCATAACATCGCAACTCTATATCAAAATAGATTATTAAACACTTAATTATAACATAGAAGCTAAAGGGAAAGAAAGCATCAAAAATAAGTATAACCACTTCAATTTAGACCCAAACTCACAACATAAAAAAGAATAATTTGTGACAACAAAAACATAGAAGAGGAAAAGGAGAAGGACAGAACCTGAATAGGCTAATGGACATAAAATATTTTTAGCAAAATAGTCTATCTCATCCACTAGATCTCTTGTACAAACCTCATGGTAACCACAAAACAAAAAATTAGAGCAGCATCACAAATGATAGAAAGAGAAAATTGAAGAAATATCACAGAAAAACACCAAACTGAAATGGTAGACAGAAATACAAGAAAAAAATAAACAACAGATGTATAGAACAACCAGAAACCAAAAAATAAAATGGCAGTACTATGCCCTCATATATCAATGATCAGTCTAAGTGTAATAGGATTGAATTCACCAATCAAAATACTCTGAGTGGCTGGATGGATTAAGAAACAAGATCCATAATAGGCTGCCTCCAGGGACCCATCTGAGCTCTAAAGATAAACGTGGGCTTGGAGTGAAAGGATGGAATATGGTATTCCAAGCAAATAGCAAAAAAAGAAAGCAAGTATATCTATATTTATGTCAGACAAAACAGACTTCAAGCTAAAAAAGATATCCATAGACAAAGATAGATGTGATATGTTGATAAAAGGGACATTCCACCAAGAAAACATAACAGTTATTAATATATATGCACCTAACATAGGAGCACCAAAGTATATAAAGCAACTAATAACAGACAAAGAGAAAACTTGACAGCAACACAACAATAGCAGGGGGGCCTCAACACCCCACTTATCAATGGATAGATCATCCAAACAGAAAGTCAACAATGTAATAGTGGCCTTAAGTGAAACAGTAGACCAGATGGACTGAATAGATATATACAGTACCTTCCATCCCAAAGTAGAAGAATATACATTATCCTCAAGTAAATATGGAATATTCTCAAAAATAGACCATATTTTGGGAAATAAAACAAGCTTCAATAAAACTAAGAAGATTGAAATCATATCAAACAGCTTTTCCAACCACAATGGTATGAAACTAGACATCAAATATAAGAAGAAAGCTGGAAAAGTCACAAATATGTGGAGACTAAACAATATGCTACTGAACAACTATTTGATCAATGAAGAAATCAAAGGAGAAATAAAAAAATACCTGGAGACAAATGAAAATGAAAACACATCATACCAAAACTTACGGGATGCAGCAAAAACAGTACTGAAAGGGAAGTATATAGCAATACAGGCCCACCTGAAGTAACAAGAAAAATATCAAATAAACAATATAACACTATACTTAAAAGAACTAGAGGGGCTGGCCTTGTGGCCTAGTGGTTAAGTTTGGTGTACTCTGTTTTGGCAGCCTAGGTCGATTCCTGGGTGTAGACCTACACCACTTGCTGGCAGCCAAGATGTGGCAGTGACCCATGTACAAAATACAGGGAGGTTGGCATGGATGTAAGCTCAGGACGAATCTTCCTCAGCAGGAAAAAAAAACTCAATAAAGAAGAAAACACAAACTCCAAAGTCAGCAGAAGAGTGGAAATAATAAAAATCAGAGTGGACATAAATAAAATAGAGGTTAAAAAGAGAATAGAAAGGATCAATGAAACTAAAAGTTGATTTTTTGAAAAGATTAAAAAAATTGACAAACCCTTAACTAGACTCAGAAAAAAGAGAGAAAGCTCAAATCAATTAGAGCAGAAATGAAAGATGAGAAATTACAACAGATAATACAGAAATCCAAAGGAGTATAAGAGAAGACTATCAAAAGGTATTTGCCAACAAATTGGATAATCTAGGAGAAATAAGCAAATTCTTAGAATTATACAACCTCCCAAAACTAAATCTAGAAGAAACAGAGGATCTGAATAGATCAATCATAAGTAACGAGATGGAAACAGCAATCAAAAACCTCACAGAAAACAAAAGTTCAGAGTCATATGGCTTCTCTCGTGAATTCTACTAAACATTCAAAGAAGATTTAATGCCTTTCTTTTTCAAATTCTTCCAAAAAGTTGAATAGGGTGGGACTCATTTTACGAGACCAACATTACCCTGGTACCAAAACTAGACAAGGACAACACAAAAAGGAAAATTGCATGGCAAATTGCTGGTGAACATAGACGCAAAGATCCTCAACAAAATATTAGCAAATCAAATAAAACCATACATTAAAAGGATCTTACATCACAAACAGGTGGGATTTATACTAGGGATGCAGGAATGGTTCAACATCTGAAAATCAGTGGATGCGGTATACCACATTAAAAAAATCAACAATAAAATTCACATGGTCATCTCAATAGACGGAGAGAAAGCATTTGACAAGACCCAAGATCCATTTATGAAAAAACTGTCAGGAAACTAGGTATAAAAGGAGAGTATTTCAACTTAATAAAGGCCATATATGACAAACCCACAGCCTACATCATACTCAACTGTGAAAAACTGAAAGTTATTATTCTAAGAATAGGAACAAGACAAGGATGCCCACTCTCATCACTCTTATTCAGCATAGCATTGGAAGTTTTAGCTGAAGCAATGAGGCAAGAAAAAGAAATAAAAGGCATCCAAATTGGGAAAGAAGAAATAAAACTTTCACTAGTTGTGGATGACATGATTCATTACATAGAAAATCAAAAGGATCCACCAGAAAACTATTAGAAATAATTAACAAATACAGTAAAGTTTCAGGGTACAAATTAAACATACAAAAATCAGTTGCATTTCTGTACACTAAAGATGAACTGGCAGAAAGAGAAATCAAGAATAAAATCCCATTTAAAATTGCAACAAAAAGAACAAAACATCTAGGAATAAATTCAACCAAGAAGATAAAAGACTTACACACTCAAAACTATGACATTATTGAAAGAAATGGAAGAAGACATAAAGAAATAGAAAGATATCCCATGCTCACGGATTGGAAGAATAAACATAGTTAAAATATCTATATTACCTAAAGCAATCTAAAGGTTCAATGCAATCCCAATCAGAAACACAATGACACTTTTCATGGAAATAGAACAAGAATCCTAAAATTTGTATGAAACATAAAAGACCCCAAATAGGCAAAGCAATTCTGAGAAAAAAGGACAAAGCTGGAGTACATTTCCTGATTTCAAAATATACTGCAAAGCTGTAGTAATCAAAAGAGCATGGTGCTGGCAAGAAAACAGACACACGGATTCATGGAACAGAACTGAGAGTCCAGAAATAAACTCATACATTTATGGACAACTAATCTTTGACAAAAGAGCGTAGAACATACAATGGAGAGAGGAAAGTCGCTTCAATAAATGGTATTGGGGAAAATGGACAGCCACACACAAAAGAATGAAAGTAGATCATTCTTACACCACACATAAAAATTAACTCAAAATGGATTAAAGATTTAATTGTAAGACCTAAAGCCATAAATATCCTGGAAGAAAGTATAGGCAGTACCCTCTTGGACATTGGACTTCACAGTATCTTTTCAAATACCATGTCTCCTCAGGCAAGGGAATCAAAAGAAAAAGTAAACAAATGGGACTATATCAAACTAAAAAACTTCTGCACTGCAAAGGAAACCATCAAAAAAATGAAATGACCACCCACCAACTGGGAGAAAATATTTGGAAAGCATATACCCAACAAGAGGTTAATTTATAAAATGTATAAAGAACTCACACAATTCAACAACAAAAAGTGAACAAGCTGATCAAGAAATGGGCAAGAGATTTGAAAAGACATTTTTCCAAAGAAGATATACACATGCCAACAGGCCAATGCAAAGATGTTCAATATCACTAATTATTAGGGAAATGCAAATCAAACCTATAAGAAGATATTACCTCACATCCATCAGAATGGCTATTATTAAAAAGACAAGAAATAGCAAGTGTTGGAGAGGATGTGGAGAAAAGAAAACCTCATACACTGTAACAGCATCTTCAAATATGGGCAGATATTTCACAAATAGGCATATGACCTTTAAACATGCAAAAAAAAAATATTGACCTCACTCATACTAGCAGAAATGCAAAATAAAATTTAAAATAAAGATTGTTTACTCAACTATCAGGTTGAAATAGAATCCAAAAGTTTCACAACATACTGTATTGGTGAAGCTCTGGGGAGGACTAAATGATGTAATTCATATTAAACTCTACTGAAAAAATGCCTAGCACAAAGTAAACACTAAATATGCTTTTCAAGATTCATGAATTGGGTATATATCTATCAACAGGGATTACAGACCCAAAACCCAATCCAGAGAATATATTTTTTTCCATGATTCTCACTTAGCCTTTAAGGAAACACTGATTCTTTGGAAAAAATAACTATTTCAATAAAAAGCCCCTAAAAGAATTATGATTGGATTTAAAATTTTCCTTGAGGCTGAAAATTGGCTTAAGTGTCTATTTATAAACAACAGAGGCAGGAAATAATCTAGAAAAGAGAGAGCTCTGAAATGCAGGATTTATTCTTAGAAAAGAGAGCCAAATAGCAGCATTATGTATCTTTTTAAGGACTTTATGAGGCTATTTTTCATATTTTCTCAATGGACCAAGCTCCTTTCTCCATGATTATTGCTTAATTGTAACTGGGAGATTGGTTCCCCAAGGTCAAAATTTCTAGCATGCCCCATCCTAAAGTCACTACATTCCCTCAGGAGTAAAAGACAAGGAGACACTAGGTTGTCCTTGTATTTTTTCAGATATGGCATAAAAGATAAGCAGAGTCAATATTTTGATGAGATTTACATACAAAGAAGGATGGGCCTAGGAGGAACTATGGAGAGTGAAATATTACCTTACAAGTTGAAAAATGGAGCAAAATGAAGAGATAAAAGACACAATGGAACCTCTGAGACACTTCTTTCAGAGGACAAGGAAGCTTAGTTCTGTAGGACGGTAAGTTACTTTTACTCTTTATGCGTTTCTTGACTACTGAGACAGAAAATTTTGCCTGGAGTACTGTCATTTTGACAATCAAAGAGTTTGTTTTAGGAAGACAGACTATGGATAACAGCAGGAGAGAGATGCAATCAGGGTATGTGAAACAAAAATAATTTTATTAAGAATAAAACTTATTTTGGGCCGGCCCCGTGGCTTAGCGGTTAAGTGTGCGCGCTCCGCTGCTGGAGGCCTGGGTTCGGATCCCGGGCGCGCACAGGCGCACCACGTCTCCGGCCATGCTGAGGCTGCGTCCCACATACAGCAACTAGAAGGATGTGCAGCTATGACATACAACTATCTACTGGGGTTTTGGGGGGGAAAATAAATAAATAAAATCTTTAAAAAAAAAAGAATAAAACTTATTTAGAACAAAAGAAAAAAGAATAGTTGATATTTAAATATTTGAATAGCCAGCGTGAGTAGGGTATTGAGTTAGGTTGGGTAATTTTTTCTGTCTTACTTTCCAGGAATGTTAATTATGGGAAGAGCTAACTGACAGCTGAGGGAAATTATGCCTGGTAATTCTTTTAAAGCATGAACTGATCTCTTACACCAAACCAATGTAGATTTGGTAGGTGATCTGCTTAGAGGTTTCGGAAATGACCTAAATAATCAAGCAGATGAGCCCCGGTTTACCAAGGAATCATATTTCTATATATATGTAATTTGTAATCTGGAAAGGATTACCAGTGGATTCGGGGTATTCCAAATCATTTTAGCAACATAACACAAGAGTAGAGAAAGTTTGCAGACATGCACCTTGAGAATGTTGTAGAGAGTTTATTATTATACCAGCTAGGTAGCACAAATGGTACAAAAGATATACTTATTTCCAGGACCAATTTGATTATGCATATTGCTCAAAATTATGTCCTATTCTATTGAATATAGAGAAAAAAGACATTTCATACTTTTTTATAATACAAAGTGTAAATAATGAAGTATTGCTAAGAAAGTATAATATGTTTTATACTAAGAACACATGAGAAAAAAACTGTTTTGAATGATTATGTATTAAGTAGGATGTAAAAATAGTTTCTGGATATATCTCAGCCTAGACTTACTATATGATATTTTGTCTTTGAAATCTGCTCTTGTATAATAAAAGCAATTCTTACAAATGATTTTTTCAAGGAAACATTTAAAATCAGAATCTTCCCCTTTCCTCCTTCCTTCCTCCCTTCCTTCCCTCTCTCCCTCCCTACTTCCTTCCTTCCTTCCTTCCTTCCTTCCTTCCTAACAAGGACAAAAGAGAATTCCTTCCTCCATTCCTTCCTTCCTTCCTTCCTTCCTGTCTTCTGTCCTTCCTTCCTTCCCTCCCTCCCTGCCTCCCTCCCTCCTTCCTTCCTCCCTCCTTCCTTCCTCCCTCCCTTCCTTCCTTCCTTAAGGATTAGTGAGTAATATACCTTAAAGAGATGGAAATTACAACTGGCCACAGACTAAATTTTGAATTAGGTGAAATCTGGCTTTGGTGACTTCATTTCTGTTTTATTGTCTCACTCCCCTTTAAGATTCCTTCTCAGGTCTGAAAGTTTTCCTACACTGTCCAAATGACTACCCAATCGTAGAAGTTGTCAGACACTTCTTTCCATAAAAATTACTCTCACATTTATATCAAACAAATCACAATATGAGTGGTGAGTGATGTATATAAGGGAAGAGTATACATTACCAGGACAATACGTTAACCAAAAGGATTTAAACTTTTAGTTTTTTCTTACTGCCTATCAAATAACAGCATATTTGTACTATGGGTATGGTTAACCAGAAAAAAATTGATGACTAAAGTAAAACATCTTTAGTCACCATAGAAAGATAACTGCCAAAATAAAAACAATCAATTAGGATTTAAATCTTTTATTTTATCCATCTCTGTGTTGTTTTACATCAGCTCATTGAATCTCCATAACAATCGCCGTGTGAAAGTTACTGAGTTAATCGCCCAAGGACATAAAATTAATATTATATAAATGGAATATGTGCAGTCTCCACTCTCAGTAACTGCTTCTTTGAATGATTTAACCATGAGTCCTGATGAGAACATTTTGGGCACAAAATCAGGTATATTGTATGGCAATGGAAAGAGTATACCAAAACCCCAAGAGTTCTAGTATATATTATAGCAAGTCCATTTAGTATAACTCAATAAAGACCATTTAGTAGAATCAGAATAAAGCAGGATTAAATAAGAACCCTCTTTGGAGAAGGTGCCTTATTTAGTAACATCTATTACATATCTGTTCATTATGAAAAGAAATCCTAATCACTGAATAAAATTTGGAAAAGTGCAACACAACAGTTTAATGAAAATCATTAATAATCTCAAATCCAGAGATAATTCCAAGTACCATTTTTAGTGGTATGTTTCCCCATGATTTTTTATACATAAATTTACATATATTCCAGCAATATTTGTAAAATACTTCATATTTTATATTATGCCTGTTTCATATTCTAAGATATTGTGAGCATCATGAATAGGTACTGCATACTTAAAATCAGTTTTATTTACTGTATAATAATCTAATCAATGGATAAATTATATTCAACATTTCTCTATTCTGAAATATTAAGGTTATTTTTTCTAAATTTTCAATAATATAAATATAACAATGGTGCCTATCCTAGAATGGAAATATTTATTTACATCTGATTATGTATCTAGAATGTTTTCTAAGGAGAAATTGATACATAAATGATACTATTATTAACATTTAAAAATGACATTCCTTTATTTTTTTAAATTCTTAGTGATGTTTGAAAAAATTTTGGTATGAAATAGTTTATCTATATTTATATAGAAATCTTTTGAAATTGTACCTTTCTTTAGTAACTATTCACTTTCTCAACTTAATTTTAATAAAACTTTTTAATAATTGGTCTCAGGATAGTAACTATGTGTAAATTATGTCAAAATGTTTTATTCTTCCTAGTATTTATGATTCTTTTTTAATTTTATTACTTCATTGTCCTAGGTAGTAAACCAGCTCATTGCGCATTCCAGGGCACAGTCCTGTTTTGCCTAATATGCTTTGTCACTTTCAGTTCAGACAAAAGAGTGACCTTGAATTCATGCATGCAGATTATTGGAGATGACAGATTTTATATCTTTACTAGCTAATATCTAGCGTTTTAAATAAAATATGTTACTAAGTGAATATTTAACTATTCACACACTACAGGTTTACTCATTAAATCTTGGCTATGTACAATATTGTTTAAAAACACAGGATTTTCTCTGGGGCAGAAGTCTGGCATCAAGAGTCTGATGCCTGCACTGACATTTACTACCTATGTAATCATAAGCAAGTTATTTAACCTTTCTGAAACTTACTGTCTTTGTCTATAGAATGGAAATGATTAGTGAGTTTATGAGGCTTAAGTGAGATGCTATATGTAAAGTACTTAAAAAAGCCCTTCACTCATAGAATCACTTCATGAATGATGATTGTTTTTATTGTTATTTTAATAGTAATACTTATATTTAATGATGCATTGCACGTGGTTCAAAGTTTGAATAAAATGTTCTCACTTGAATTATATATTTGTTTTACACATAAGAAGAATGAAGTTTTCAGACAGTGTGTGTATATATGCACGATCACATCCAGGACTCACATCAGAGAATTTCTATAATATTCTTCACAGCTGTTTTCACTTTGCTACATAAAATTCATTGTGTAGCCATATTTTCCAGAAAACAGAACATTACATGATTCTGAAGTTTTATTACATGATTCCGAAGTTTTGTTACATAAAATCCTATTTTGAGATTGTTTTCTATACTTGATGTGTGGCTAAATGATGGGAATGGTGAGACCATCCATGGAAACCACAAACATTTTTAAGATCACGTTATTTGATATTAAATTTGCAACAAATATAAATGTCTTTGATATAGCAAAATAAGTGAAAATTTGTGTGCTATTAGTCTTAGCTACGGTAACTCTTATAAATTATTCCTTGGCTAAATATCATAATAAATCAATTCCATGAGTGTACTGCCTTTGGCACTTGGAGTTTTACTCATATTAACTTAGTTACAAGAAGCAGAAAGGATAAATACAGTAAGCAGAAAGAATTTACCTTCTTTAACTGGTAGTGCTTTTCAAATGTGGTCTTTTTCATCTGCTATAATAGAGATGCATTAAAAAGCAGCAAGAAAATGAATTGAATTGAAGTGAATGAAGTTAGAACACATGAGTAAACGAGAGATTTAATGAGGCTCCAGTGAAGTTTCACTTTCTCTCAATCTTAACAGATCCAACACTTTCTTTCTGTAAAAAATATTTTCTAATACCTCTTTACTATCTTTACTTTTATAACCTCTACTTAGTAAACTATGAGTGTACTAAATGAAAGCCATGAATTTAAACATGGTTGTTAAAATAGAGATACATAGTTGTTAATTCTCACTTTTATTGCTGAGGTAATAAAAGGACATATATTAATGATTTTGTTTCAGCATCCCCTATCCAGTTCCTAGGTTGCATGCAGGAATGTGAACCAGGAGAAGTTCTAAGCACAGGATAATCAGGCTCCCAAAATTCTCTCTGTGCTATTCCCTGCAAGTAGTGCCACAACAATGAGAAGATTCAATAACACTTTTCATCACCTCAAGGCTTTGTTTTGGTGGGCTTCTCTGAATGGCTCAGAGTAGAACTGGTTCTTTTCGTGGTCATCTCCATCTTCCACATGATGACCCTCCGTGGGAATTCAGCCATCATTAGCTTGTCATGCCTTTATCCCAGACTCCACACCCCCATGTATTTCTTTTTGGCTAATCTGTCTTTTTTGAACCTCTGCTATATTACCTCCATTGTGCCCCAGATGCTGGTAAACATAGGGAGCCCCCAGAGAAACATCAGCTACATAGGATTCATAGCTCAACTTTTTATCTTCCTTGGTTTAGCATCCACTGAATGTGTACTTCTCTCACTAATGGCCTTTGATTGCTATGTAGCTATCTGCCAGCCTCCGTATTACACAGTTATCATGCATTTTCGGCTATGCCGAAAATCAACTGGAACCAGTGGGTTGGGTAACAGGTTTCAGAAACTCCTTAGTGCAAATAGCATTGACTTTCCTGTTACCTTGTTGTGGTCAATATCAGGTGGAGAATTTCTTTTGTGAAGTACCTGCCACGCTTCAATAACCATGTGTTGATATGTGGATCAATGAAGCGGGGATGTGTGCAGCTGTGGTTGTCATATAAGTTATCCCAGTTTCGATTGATTCTATTGTCTTTCATCAATGTTGTCAGAGCCGTAGCAAGGATCCAATCTTCTGAGGGTCATAAGAAGGCTTTCAACACATGTGGGTGTCATCCACTGGTGGTCATTATGTTCTATGGCTCAGCCATTAGTGGTTATGCATATATGGCACCCAAGAGCAACTCAGCCAAATTGAAGGGCAAGCTTCTTGCACTCTTCTATGAACTTATAACTCCAATACTAAATCCGCTCATCTCCGCCTTGGGAAATAAGGATGTTAAGGGAACAGGAAACAAACTAGTGGGGAGAGAACAAGAGCAAGGGTGGAACATGGCTTAGGAGAATGCAGTCCTCTTACAATTCAAATTCCACACTCCCAGAATGCTTATGGACAACTGTCATCATTCCTCTCATGCCCAAATAACAATGACTGAATGTTACTGTTATTACCTGTGTTTTTCACAGGAATTAAAATATTGATTATTCTCCCCCTGAAATAATGGAACAGATCTCTAAAAATATTTAATTGAGCATTCATAGATTTTGGTAAAGTAATTGGATTTTTGTTACCAAGTTTTCTTTTCTAATGAAGTTTTAAAATTAATAACCAAATATCATTTCTTATCATATGGCACATTAAAACTGCCGATTAAGGGAATAATCTTGAAACTTGTGTAAAAAGCAGAAAGATGCCTGCTTAAAATGACTAAATTATGTTGCAAAATTAGCAGAATGCACTTATAGATAATCAAGAAGTAACTTCATTTCCTCCTTTGATAGCATTTTTTAATGTTGTCAGTAAAGCTGTTGTATATCTAACGTAATTTTAACCAATGTCACTATGGGACACTGTCAGGGAGCCAAGTGCACGTTGTGGTCATCTACACTGTTCTGGAGAAAAAGAAGTGCACAGATAGAAAGCTCTGTGCAATGCCTCTGCCTATTTGTTCACTTAGCCAATCCTTCTAACAGCCTCTTTTAGTATATTTCTTTAACTCTGCACATCATTCTTTTTTTTAATTTATTTTTTATTTATTTTCTTTGATGAAGATTGGCCCTGTGCTAACATCTGTTGCCAAACTTCCTCTTTTTCTTTTTTCTCCCCAAAGCACCTGTACATAGTTGTGTATCATAGTTGTAGAGTTGTAGCTCTTCTATCTGTTCAGTTCACAACTCTTTCTCCTCAACTCAGTGTGACGGCTGGGCTCTTGTGCACTGTGTCCTGGAAACTCTCTCTAGGAAGGAAGGTAGACAATTGTAGGCCTCATTTCTTTTGTTTCCTTCTGTTAGGAATCATAATCCTCACGAAACCTGTTGTCCAAGGTTTGAATACCATTGTTTCATATATTTATCTGAATTTGTAGTTAAGACAGGAGCGTAAATCTGGTTCTTTTTACTTCATCATGGCACAAAGGAAAAGTACATAAACAATCTTCCTCTATTTTATATGGAGGATGCCTCCACAGCATGGCTTGATGAGCAGTGCATAGGTCTGCGCCTGGAATCCAAAACTGCAAACCCTGTGCTGCTGAAGAGTATTACATGAACCTAACCACTATGCCACTGGGCTGCCCCCTAAACAGAGTTGTTTTTTGTTTTTGTTTTGGTAAGGAATTTTAGCCCTGAGCTAACATCCTTGCCAATCATCCTCTTTTTGCGGAGGAGGATTGGCCCTGGGCTAACATCCATGCCCATCCTTCTCTACTTTATATATGGGAAACCTGCCACGCCCTGGCTTGATAAGCAACACATAGGTCAGTACCGCGGATCTGAACCCGAGAACTCCAGGCCTCTGAAGCAGAGCATACAAACTTAAACACTATGCCACTGGGCCAGCCCCCTTAAAAGAGTTATTAATTCAAATTGTTCTTTTTTTTGTTGTTGTGAGGAGATCAGTCCTGTGCTAACGTCTGCCAATCTTCCTCTTTTTTTGCTGAGGAAGATTGGCCGTGGGCTAACATCTGTGCCCATCTTCCTCCACTTTATATAGGATGCCGCCACAGCACGGCTAGCCAAGCCGTGCGTCGGTGCACACCCGGGATCCGAACCAGTGAACCCTGCGCTGCCACAGCAGAGCGTGTGCACTTAACCATTTGCGCCACCAGGCCGGCTCTCAAATTGTTTTAATTATTTTATTGAGGTTATATTGGCTTGTAACATTTTGTAGTTTCAGGCGTACATCATTATATATCAGTTTCTGTATAGACTGCATCATGTTCACCACCAACAATCTAGTTTTCCTTTGTCACCATACATACGTGTCCCTTGACCCCTTTCGTCCTCTCCCTACCCCCTTTCTTCTGGTAAACGCTAATCTGTTCTCCTTATCCAGGCATTTATCTTCCACATATGAGTCAAATCACATGGTGTTCGTTTTTTTCTGTGTGGCTTATTTCGCTTAACGTCATACCCTCAAGGTCCATCCAAATGGCACAATTTGGTATGTTTATGGCTGAGGAGTATTGTGTTGTATATATATACCACATCTTCTTTATCCAGTGTCCAGCATCAGGAGAGTCAGTGGTACGAGCAGTGGCATCTGTGCCCAGCAGCAGCGAAAGCGATTCCTATGTGGGGCCTGAGGCCCAATACTTTCTCTCTCTCTTTCTATCTATCTATATTCATTTATATTTCAGTTACAACAATTTGAAATCCATTGCTCTCACCAAAAGGTGAATCAGAAATCCATGTAGGGAAACGTTTCAGAGAGCAAGGATTCACAGATTATTTTACCAGCTTTATTGAGATATAATTGACAAATGACATTGTGTATGTTGGAAACTTACAACCTGTTGACTTAATTCACTTAATATATTGCAAAATGATTAACACCATAGACTTAGCTAACTGACACCTGCATCCTGTCACATAATTATCATTTGTTTTTGTGGTAAGAATATTTAAGGCCTACTCTCTTAACAACTCAGAGATTTTCTTTTGCTAAGCTGATAAGCACTTCCAAAATCATCCACCTGGCTATAGTCCACTGCAGAGAAAACAATGTATATCTCTCAGCATACGTCTTGCTTTTTCCTTCCCAGGAAAAAACACGTAAATGTGGACTTAAGACCCCTCCCTACCCTGAATGCTCTCTGACCACTGGCATCTGTTGTTCCCAGTCTGGCTGAGCACCAGGATTACTTGTGGGCTTGTTACAAAATACTCAGGCCTCTCCCCAGACACACCATCTCATAATATTGGGCATGAAGCCCCAGAATCACTTATTTAGCTAGATTTCCCACACAGCCATGTGGGAATCCTGGTCTATGTTCTTGCAACTAAATGTGTGATCTGAAGACTAGCAGCATCAGCACTGACTCGTTATAAATGCATAATCTCACGCTCTACTCCAGACTGTCTAGGTGTTAAAAAGATGTCCAAGGGATTCCTGTGCACAGGAAAGTTTAGGACTCCCTGGTTTCCATGCTTTTTAGAAGCAGAGCAAGAACTCTGCAGTCTGTTCCTGGGGTGTTGTCTGATCAGATCACGTAGCACTGGGGGCCCAAGGTTTAGTCCTTGTTCCTTTCTCTTCTATAGCCATTATTCCTTGATGACCTCATTTGTTTCCAAGGCTTTAAATATCATTTACATGGCATCACCTCCCAAGTCTACTTCTCCAGCCCAGATGTCTCACCTAAACTCAAGGTTTGCATATCCAGCTACTAAAACTAAACTCGCTTGCATCTAATTGACATCTCTCTTCCAACTTTCCTAAGTGGATGTCTATGATGCTGCTTCCTCAAATGTGTTTCGTCTAAAGTCTTCCCCAATTTCACTGAAGGCACCTCACAGTTCTACTTACAGTCTGAAATTTGGGGTGTCCTCCTTGATTCCTCTTTCTCATAACCCAGATTTACTCCATTAGGAAATGCTGTGAAGCCCATCTTCAGAATGTACCCAGAATCCTATCACTTCCTATTATTTCTCTGCTCACACCCCAGACAAAGCAACTCACATCTCTAGCCTGGAACACAGCACTAGTTTCCTACAGTTTTCTCTACCTGTTGCTTACACTTCACCTCTTGATTCTGCACAGCACCAAACTGATGCTTCTCAAGAGAAGTCACACCAGGTGGATCTTCTTTTCAACACTGTCTTGTAACTGCACATCTTAGAGAAAAGTCAAAATCTTCCAATATCCTCAAGGTCTACATGCCTTGGGTATTATTTCAGTCCTCATCTCAATTACTCTCTGCTCCAACCACACTGGTCTCCTTGCTCTTCCTTGAACACACAGATATACTCCTGCCCTAATGCATGTAGCACTGGAGAGTCCCCTGCTGGGAAGAACTTCCCCCAGGCATCCTTGTGGACAGATCATGTACTTCAAATCTTTATTCAAGGTCAGCTTCCCAATGAGGCCCAGACTGACCACTCTAGGAAAACAGTCATCTTCCCTGTCCCCATACCCTTATACTCCAAGTCACCCTCCTCAAAGCACTTACAACTTCTAACATAAACACTTCCCTTATTTACGATGCATGTAGCATACAATCTGCCCCTCACACTAGAACACATGTTTTGCAACACCAGCAATTTTTCCCTGTTTTTAGTTCACTGAAGTTTTCTAGCTGCAAAAATAATTTCTCATATATCTGGCAAATGACAATTATCAGTTGAATGAATGATCAGTGTAGAGCACCTCTCTATTCTAGAGACGATATCTTTATTAATGGAACCTCAGGCCACATGCTGTGTTGTGGTGGCAACAGCACAACGTCCACTCACACTGACATCGATGTCACTTGTACTTTTCTCACAAGGGCTGCTCTCCCCTCCCTCCCACAGCCACCCTCCTGCACACACACAGTTATATTTCTCTCTTCAGGAAGGACAAGCGTATGGGCTTATGCGTCCTATTTTCCACCAACTGTGAATCAAAGGTAGACTTGACTTATAAACCCATGTGTTTGGATCAGAGCCAGGACTAGGATGACTAGAGCTGAGGGCAGAGAGAGGGGGCAGGCTGCAGAGAAGAAAGAAACCAACACGGGGGACGGGTCCCATGGCCTAATGGTTGAGTTCAGCGCACTCCACTTCGGCAGCCCAGGGTTTAGTTCCCAGGTGTAGACCTACACCACCCATCAGTGGCCATGCTGTGGCAGGAACTGACATACAAAATAGAGGAAGATTGGCAACTGATGTTAGCTCAGGGCGAATCTTCCTCAGCAAAAAACAAAAAAGAAACCCAACAAGAATTTATCTAAGATAAAAAACTATCAGGGTCTTCCTCTCTGCTAATTCTAGAAGCTGGCTCTTTAAAAAGGGAGAAAAGATGGAAAGAACAATCCAGAAAACAGCCCTAGAAGGAAGGCAAGAACTGGATGAGTCTGAAAACTCATCTCTCGATACCAAAGAGTCTCCTGTGTGCAGGGGCCACTGTGAGCCTTAGGGGGACAATGAATGGCTAAACGACTCCTGCTGCTGTCAGAGATGGGGGATACTCGGAGGAGAATGAGACCAGAACTGAAAATATGAAAATGAACAGGCATAATCCAAAAAAAAAAAAAAAAAATCCAAAGAAACAAAACATAAACACACAAAAGGTAGGGGCTGAGGGGAAGAGGCTTGCCTGAGCCTAGGCTGACCCGGGCACACGAAGCCCTCACTGTCTGTGGTCCTGAAGACACAACACCCAGGTGACATCCAAGTCTCTGTGATCACAGGTCCTGGTGGGACAAGGTTCTACTGAAGGGACCAGAACAAAGGAGCAGTGAAGATGATCCAACCAAGGAGTGACCACATCAAAGCCCACAATACACTGAACACCAACTGGGCACAGACCCCGTGCATGCTCGGCTCCTCACAGCCTTCTCCTGCCCCCACCCACAACCCACTCAGCACAGCAAACACATGAATTCTGGAAGGTTCTCAGTGCTTCCATTTATTTTCTCTCTCAAACTTTAGAAGATTTCTCCTTTAATTATTAACACATCAATCCCTTATGACAAGAATTAGAAAGAACAAATTCATATCCAGATTCATATTTTCAGTAAGGAAACAAGTCATTACTACTCAATGCAACACGAAGTAAAGACAGGGATGGAAACGGCCCAGCCCTGCCTCTGCTGGAACAGGAAAGTCCATCAGGAAAATACACAGGTCATTGTGAGGAGGGGTCATGGTGGGAAGCGGGTGGACCAGTCTCCCCACCTCCTCACATTATGCTAATATTAACGCAGACACATTCGTATGCCAGTTGCAGAAAGAGAAGTCAGGGGATCCTGGAGCCACAAAGCGGGAGCGTGAACAAATCTTGCATCACTCAGTCCCCCACAAGGCAGCTGTCTCACACTGTGAGAAAAAATAATCATGAACAGATTTAGGTCAGTCACATAAGTGTTGACATTCTCAATAGCCCACCACATGCTTAAAATGTCCCACTCAAAGAATTCCCATAACCCAGTCCTATCCCCTCTGACCCAAGTCCTCCCTCACTTCAGGCCTCCAGGGTCTCACCTTTAGGATCTGTGAGAAACACATCAGAGCCCTGGGCACTGTCGCTGCCTGGGGTAGAACAAAACAGGACGTGGTCAGAGCCCACAGGAGAACAGACTAAACGAGGAACTATGGGGTGGGTGAGCTCCCCCATGGGCTCCATCTACACTACCCTAAGGGTCTCAAGGATCAACCCTCCAACCCAAACTTACTTGCAGTCTGAGCATAGCTCCCTCTTTGTTCACCTGTGGGAAGAAAACAGGGAGAAGGTTGAGCCATGAGATCCTAGAGGAAGCCCCTAGTTCCGGACCAAGGGAAGTTTCCAGCACCATGACTGAATACCCAGGGCAGGATCATGAAACATGAAGAAAGGAGACGTGGGGGGACTGGACCAACTGCCCTCCTGGAGCTCTGTCCTCAGCAGGGACCTTCAACGGCTGGGAATCAGGTCCCCAGCACTAGAATTATCAAAGTGAAAAAAAAAACCTGTCTTGCATTTTCACAAGCTTTACAAAAGACTGTTAGTAATCAGTTCCAGGTTGGCAAACACGTGTATGGATGGTACTTCCCATTAATGAGGCAGGGCAACTTCTACCTGGGGCTTGAAACTTCCCAGTGGGACAAGAAAGCTCAGATCTCCCACTCCCTTCCCTACCTGAGCTCTTCTTCCTCCACATCACAGCTCCACCCACCACAGCTCCAAGGACAACCAGGCCAACAATGATGCCCATGATCAGGATAGTGGATTGAGGAGGCGGCTCTGGGAAGGGAAGGGAAGGGAAGGTGAGGGGCTCTGACCTCAGGCTTGAGTCCTGACCCTGCTGAAAGTGTTCAGAAAAGCTTCTGAGAAAAGGCATCCTTCCTTGATCCCCCTCTCACCCCATCTCAGGGTGACGGGCTCAGGCAGCCCCTCATGCTGCACATGGCACGTGTATCTCTGCTCCTCTCCAGAAGGCACCATCACAGCCGCCCACTTCTGGAAGGTCCCTTCCCCTGCAGGCCTGGTCTCCACAAGCTCTGTTTCCTGGGTCAGGTCCTCCCCATCACGCTGCCAAAACAGGGTGATCTCTGCAGGGTAGAAGCCCAGGGCCCAGCACCTCAGGGTGACTTCTCTGTCAGAGATGGGGTGGTGGGTCACATGTGTCTTTGGGGGATCTGAGGAGGAAGAATCAGAAAATTCACACTTTCAGTTACCTCCATGAGCCACCGAAGCATCATTCATGTGACCATCCTGAGAATGGACAGGATGATTGGTTTGGAAATAGGAAACACAAAACGCAGACACCAGTTTGGACTTGGGGATCTGGGATAATCTCCTATCCCTTGCAAAGTTCTAGAATCAGGGTGAGAACCCAGGATAGGAGTCTCCAGCTTTCTAAAGAGGAGAACACAGACTTCTGGTCTTGACCTGGGTAGAGAGTGAATGACTCAGAAAAACTGGAGTCAGACCTGCAAAGATGTTCTCAGGGTGAGAACAAAGCCTTGAGAGAGAAAGTCATGGTTCACAAGATGGCTGTCAGGGTCAAAGGGAACCAGTGATGGGCGATTTCACGGATGGTCTCCCCTTCTATTTCTGAAGAAACTGGATTCCTTAACTGTCCTTCAGAAAAGGGCAGGCCCTCTGGGCGAGTCACTAGTACACAATACGAAAACCTGTGTGGATTCCTCCCCCTCCTGAGGAGTGGTATTCTCATACCCATCCCATTTTCCTCCCCTCTCTGTGGGATGCCAGCCACAGCCGGAGGGGAGACCTGGCTGCCCCGCGACCCTTCGTACCTGCGCGCTGCAACGTCTCCTTCCCGTTCTCCAGGTATCTGCGGAGCCACTTCACGCACTCGCCCTCCAGGTAGCTCCTCCAGTACTCCGTCACACCTTCCGCCTCCCACTTGCGCCGGGTGATCTGAGCCGCCGTGTCCGCCGCGGTCCAGGAGCGCAGGTCCTCGTTCAGGGAGATGTAATCGGCGCCGTCGTAGGCGTCCTGCCTGTACCCGCGGAGGAAGCGCCCGTCCGGCCCCACGTCGCAGGCATACATCCCCTGGATAGTGTGAGACCCTGACCCCGCCCCCGCGGTCAGCCCCGCCCACTCGGCCCCGCCCCCGACTCGCAGAGATTGAACCTGAACTGAAAATGAAACCGCAGGAAAGTCCCCGCGGGCTCTTCCCGGGTGGAGGTAATAGGCGGGTCCCGCAGCCTCGGGGTGAATCTCGGACCCGCAGACTCGGGGAGACCCCGGCCCGTCCGTGGGGATGGGGGTCGTGACCTGGACCCGGGCCCGCGTCGCTCACCGGCCTCGCTCTGGTTGTAGTAGCCGCGCAGGTCGTTCAGGTACGCTCGGAAATCCTGTGCCAAGCCGTTGGCCCGCCGCGTCTCCCGCTCCCAATACTCCGGCCCCTCCTGCTCCATCCACCGCGCCCGCGGCTCCGCCATCGGACTCGCGGCGTCGCTGTCGAACCGCGCGAACTGCGTGTCGTCCACGTAGCCGACGACGATGAGGCGGGGCTCCCCGCGGCCGGGCCGGGACACGGCGGTGCCGAAATACTTCAGGGAGTGGGAGCCTGGGGGCGGGGAGGGGCTGAGACCCGGCCCGACCCTCCTCCCGGCGCAGGTCCCCGGGTCCGAGGGTGATGGGGCCGGGAGGGGGCGAGGGGTCGTGAGACTGAAAAGGGGCGGCGGACGGACAAGGGCGGGGACTTGGGGTGGGAAGAGGCGGGAGCGGGAGAAGAGAGGGGTCTGGACGGGGCGGGGCCGAGTCGGGGGCGGTCTGGGCAGGTGTCCGCAGAGACGCGCCTTCGCCGGGGGTCCTGCGTCTCCGCCACCCGGTCCCCTCGCTCCGCCGCCCTCGGAGGCCGTTTCCTCCCGACCCCACACTCACCCGCCCAGATCTCGGTCAGGGTCAGGGCCCCCGAGAGCAGCAGGAGGAAGGTTGGAGGCATCACGATCCTCATCCTCGCGGTCCGGGCAGAAACAGTCGTGGCGGGTCCCTGGAGACTTTATAACACGGAACCGCGGAGACGCTGATTGGCTTCTCTAGAAACCGGACACGCAATGGGAGTGAAAACTGGGGCCGCGTCATGAGTCTCCAGGCAGGAGGACCTGACACAGGTTGTGAGAGGGAGAAGTGAAACTCGGGGAGATGAGGACTGCCCAACACTGAGCTTCCCCGCCCCAGACACCGCCTTCGGGCCTGACTCCTGAGAGCCACGTCCGGGGACCTGGGACTTGGCCCTGACCCCTCTCCTCCTGCACCAAGAGAGCTTTGTCACACTGTCTCCCCGAGTCCTGGCCTAGGAGCTGTATGAGTCAGCGATTCTCAAACACTTGGGCTTCATGATATCTATACAGTCTTACAAATTAGTGAGGACCCCAGGGATGATTTTGCTTATGTTGGTGATAGCTATCGATATTTACCATACCAGGAATAAAAGTTTTTAAATATTTTTATAAATTTATTTAGAATAATATTTATATCCCACTGCAAGTAAACAAATAATGTTTTTCTGAAAAATAACTATTTGCCAACATAAACAAGGTAGTGAGAAGAGTGGATCTTTTCACATTTTACATTTTTGCAAGTCTCTTTCTTGTCTGTCTCGTTAGAATACCACTGGGTTTTCATATTTGATCTGCATTTAATCTGTTATTTTGGTTGAAGTATATGAAAAACAATACGGCCTCACACAAATATGTAGGATTAGTATTTTTTGTTTTTTTTGTGAGGAAGATCAGCTCTGTGCTAGCATGTGCCAATCCTCCTCTATTTTTTGCTGAGGAAGAGCGGCCCTGGCCTAACATCCGTGCCCATCTTCCCCCACTTGATATGGGACGTTGCCACAGCATGGCTTGCCAAGCTGTGCATCGGTGGGTGCCCGGGATCCGAACTGGCAACTCCCCGCAGCGGAGCGCAGGCACTTACCTGCTTGTGCCACCAGGCTGGCACCAAGAATAGTATTTTTAATAACCTTTTCAGATAATTATGGATATTAAAGTTTGTTACTAAAGTAAAACTGGGTGCGTGGTAGTATCTCAATGGTTATTTGCAAAGTGGAACCAGAAACAATGTTAGTGAATATTTACTACTCTGTTACATTGAAATCCACAGACCTAATTTGCATATTGAATGGCTCTTGTAGTAATGTATGATTTTTTAAAGTAATGCATTGTTTCACTAAGTTATATAGATCTTCCTGTGTTGATGCATTTAACTACAAATTATCAAAATATCACTTTTGTTAATGTTACCACAGATCTCAACAGGAACGTTTGTCAGTACTGGGAAGCTGTCAAACTTATGTGGTGGGACACAAAGTTTCCAAAATTCTGGTTTTCTCTTGAGAGCTTCCACTTTATCAAGGCAATAAGTACTGTCAGTTGTTACATGTGAGTTGATTTTCTTGAAAGGAGAAGCTCACGTTCATTTTGAGAAAGTGTGTGCCAATTAACTAAGTCTAATCATAGTTTCTGTCATTCATTCTGTTAAGTAAAACTGGTATTCCATAAAAAAGAGGCTAGCTCAGCTAGCACAAATTATTTTCGTTGGGACATAGTACTTGGGTGCTTTATGTGTACTTCCCACATCATCATATAAGATATTTTTTAAATGTAGATTTAAGAATAATGATTTGGTAAAGATAATAATTTTAATTCTTCAACCAGTATGTTTTAAAGTAAAAGTTGTGTTTTTTTTTTTCCTGCATGTGGGGGTGAAGATAACTGCCATTGCAGTTGGATACCATAGACTCCATTCTTGGTAAGTGTCACCTCAGTGCAAATGTCAACATAGTGAAAAGACAAATGATGTCTAGTAATATTATGAAACTAGTTTTGACCTCATGGATCCTGTGGAAGGGTCTCAGTGACTTCAGGGGTTCCACAGACCACAGTTTGAGGGTTGCCATTCTGAATAAACCAGGGAGAATCTCCCAACTGGTCCCCATTTTTGCCTCCTCTTCATTTTCTAGAATCCTTCTCCCTGAGTTTGGATTTTCTGCCTCTCAAAACTTAGCTTGTAGCCTTGCCCCTGGTCTCCTCTGAAAGAGAACTTGCCCCATGGAAAGTTGATGCCAGAGATTGTCCTCACTCAGTGTGAGTCTGGGAAGGAAGGTGGAGGGACAGGTGTTTCCCTTTGGAACTGGGAAAAGTTTGTGCCTAAAGGAACTAGACTCACTGATAACCTATTGTGGTTTTGTTATACACCAGCTTATAATGTATTCATATCTCAGACAGAAATCTGACGTATCTCTAAGAGAAATAATATTGGCTCTTTCATTTTATGTGGGTCTAATGGATCTGTCTTGAGACCCACAAAGTATGACGAGCAGTACTGTCCAATAGAATGTCCTGTGATAGAGGAATTGTTTCATATCTGCACTGTCCAGTATGGTAGCCAGTAGCTACATGTGGCTATTGAGCACTTAAATGTGACTACTGTGCTGAGCAGTTGAATATTTAATGTTATTTACTTTAAATAACCATATGTGGCTAGTAGCTACCTTATTGGACAGTACCTATCTGGAATGTTCTTAGTTTTCAGTATCCTCCCCGAAAAAAATACTGTGTGACTCATAGGTTGATGTATATTAAAATTATCTTCATAGGAGGGGCGTGGATTTGTTCATATGGGTCATAAACATACCCTTAAATTACAGCATGTCCAAGAAGTTTAATTAATATGTATTTTAACAACTAGAGTGTATAGACATTAACCAAAACGTGATTTTTCAACTTAAGGTCATAAGTGTTCAAAAATGCCCATCACTGGAGATAATCCTCATGTATATTACATTGGGACTCATGGCATTGTTGCCATTAACCTGGTAAACATAAGCAGGGACAAAAGTCTTCAGTTAGCCCAAGAGAAAGCATTTATTGTGTACAACAATATCAAATACCGTGTAAACACTGTGAACATATTGGAAAATTATAGAGCAGGATATGTAAACCTTAGAATGTAAACCTCTGTTTCCCTTCACCCTTGGACCCCTTTCCTGGATGAAAATATACATGAAAGTTTTACAATTGTGGAATGAAGAATTCTCTAAGCCTGACCCAAAGATGAAAAGCCTTAAGGAGAAAATAAAACTTCTCTACGTCAACCACACACTCATAAAGATACAAACACATGCCCATAATCAAAACTCAAAGACACATGAAAAATTTTGACAGACAAAAGGATAATAACATGTCTTAATGTTCTTCAGCCAAAAGCGACCAGGAGCACATCTGTGGGCAAACAAGTATGAACCAATGTTTCATAAACATTGATGGGATGGAAAACTGGTACAAAATAGAATATGCATAGAACCCTTAAAACTCCACAATAAGAAAACAAATAACTCAATTAAAAAAGGTGAAAATCTGAACAGACACCTCACCAAAGAAGATACATGGATGGGTAATAAGCATATGAAAAGATGCTCAACATCTTATGTTATTAGGGAAATGCAAATGAAAACAACAGTGATGTACCATTAGACACCTATGAGAATGGCCTAAATCCCAAAACTGGTAATGTCAAGTGCTGAGCAGGATGTGGAGCAACAGGAACCCTCGTTTATTGTGGGCAGAGATACAAAATACCACAGCCATTATAGAAGATATTCAGCAGTTTCTTATAAAGCTAAACACAGACTACCATACAACCTACTGATCATCCTCCTGGGTATTGACACAACTCATTTGAAAACTTACATTTGCACAAAAACCTGCATGTAAATATTTAGAGCATAACACCCCTTAAGTGTGGGCTGTGTATAGTGACTTCCTTCCAAAGACTATTGTATGAAACGGATGAAGAAAAAAAGGAACTTCACAGGGGGGAACCTGGGAAACACAACCTCAGCCAGGTGGGGAAGGTTAACATCATCACTGATCAATCAAGTGGGTATTATATACCCTTGATGTGTTGTGTTGAGAATGGCACTTCAACTCTGTGGTCTTCTTCCCCAAAACGCATAGTCCCAGTCACCCAAACTCAAATCGAGAGACAGTCTACAATAGAGCTGAGCAGTGCTCCTCAAAAATGTCAAGGTTATCAGAAAAGAGGAAAGTCTGAGAAACTGTCACACCTGAGGAGCCTGAAGGAGGCATGATAGGGAGTTAATGTGGTATCATGGATGGGATCCTGGAACAGAAAAAAGAAAAAGTAATGAAATCCAAATAAAGTATGGAGTTTAGTAATAATGCATCAATATTGCTTCATTAGTTGTGACAAATATTTGATACTGATGTAGATGTTAATATCAGGGACAACTGAGTGTGGGATGTACAGGAACTCGGTACTAACTTTGCAACTTTTCTGTAAATCTCGGTATGTCTTCTAAAATAAAACAATTTATTTTTTAAAGTAGCCCTCAGAAAAAGAATTGGGAGTGTGAAAAAAACATGATCTACTTTTCAGTTTTGTAGAGTGTTGCTATCAAGAGGCTGGAGAGAGGGGTTATGGGAGAAAAGATAGAAACCTCAGAGGCAGGGCAGGGCCCCAGAGCTCTCCTCTCCTCCAATCCCTGTCCCACCCCCAAGCCTGAGCCCAGGGCTGCTCAGAAGGCATCTTCATCCCCCATTGATGTCCAGCCTCCAGGTCGCACACTTCTGCCTGACTCAGATCACAGCCCATCCTCTCTCCTGGCCTTGCCAATAGGAGGGAGCAGAGCAGTGGCTCCACCGTGTGGCCACAGGGCTGAGGACAGAAGACCAGAGCTCCTGTTTGGCCTCTTCCAGGACCTCCCCAGTGTCTCCCTGGACTCCCAGCAGCAGGACAGTGCTGTGCACACAAGGAGGAGCCCCCATCCAGTGTCAGGTTCGGAGTCTGAATTTTTTCCCAAAATACACTCGGACATAGATGTTTTCCTCCCCGTCGAATGACCATGGACCCTGGCCTCAGGGAGGAGCAGATCTCCAGGCCATTACAGCTGGTTCCCACGTCTGGTGTGGACCCCACAAACACACTGGGTGCCCTCAGTCTCCTGGAT